AGGGCCCCCTCCAGGCTTTGGGGCACCCGGAGCCTTTTCTGCTCCTGTCTGTGTCTCTCTTCTCCAGGTGCTGCATTTGCTGGGGCCAAAGACAGAAGCTGACCTGGAAAAGAAGCCAAAGGTGAGGAGGAGGGCGAGGCTGGGAACTGGGATGGTATTTCCCTGCTGAGTGTGCAGGCAGGATCCCAAATAGCTGCTCTGGGCCCAGCCGCCACCATGGGCACGGGTCTGAGAGAGTGCTGGGGCAGCAGGCTGGGCTGGGAAGGAAGGTGCGTGCCGGGGCTGGGCACTCAGGATGCTGTGCTGGTCCCTGCAGGCTGCAAAGGCCCGGCCAGCCCCAGCGGAGCAGCAGAAAAAAAAAAGGAGAATGGTAAGAGACTGTCATCCTATGGGCAGCTTCCCCAGCCCTTCGGTTCCCAGCCAGGACCTGCCTCCAAGCTGGGCCCCAGGAGCTGCAGTGAGGCCCGTGCTCAGCCCCGTCTCTCCCTGCAGGCGAGGTGGGCATGGAGACACAGTCACTGCTCGAGCAGCTGCGCGGAGACGCCCTCACGTTACACAAGCCGGGTGAGTGCGAGGAGCCACTACCGTGTGCGGGGCCGCTCCACCGGCTCTGTGCCTGGCCCCAGCTCTCCGTGCTGCAGGGGACTGGTCTGTCCCTGTGTCCTTCCCTGCTGGCTGCTGGGCTTGGCTCGGTTTGGGCAGTGCTGCAGCCCTGAGCATCCTCTGCCCGCAGGAGAGAACTACAAGACGGAGGGCTACGTGGTGACGCCCAACACCATGGCTCTGCTGAAGCAGCACCTGGCAATCACGGGTGGGCAGGTGAGGCCACGTCCCCCAGCCCAGCGGTTCCCTGCGAGGGCAGCACTGCGATGCCGGGCTCCAGCTGGGTGGGTGGGTGTGGTGGCTGGGGGGACACACAGCTCACCAGGGGCACAGCCAGAGGTAGCACCTATGTGGCACCAGGGGCTCTGTGGGATCGTCAGGGGTCATGTCAGTGCCCCCGCTGTAAGGGAGGGGGAGAGTCTCCTGTCAAAGGACAGACGTGTCCCCTTTCCCCCCTGCAGGTGCGGACACGGTTCCCTCCTGAGCCCAATGGGATCCTGCACATTGGCCATGCCAAGGCCATCAACTTCAACTTTGGCTATGCCAAGGTGAGAAGCACCAAGCCCCGCTGCCAGCTCC